CCACCCTCTCCTCCTCTTTGCCTTCTCTTACCCCCTCACCCCTTCATACACACTCCCCCTGCAGCTCTGTGGGTTATTATAGTGAAATATGAAGCGGTGTGGATTCGAGGCTTCATGAAATTTCCATGAGCATTGATCTGATCTGATGTGGGTGATTGCTAGGTGAATCCCTCCAGTCCACGGCTGCTGCTCATCTATTCATTTATTTATGGCAGTTATGTTTTACTAGCTTTGATTTGCTCTTCTGGAGAGCGACAGCTAAGGATTATAAATATACCTGGATAGAAGTGTGTGCTTTGAAACCTGGTGTGTACAGGCACACCACTTCTCTTTTGATTCAGGAGAGGTTTTTTTTTTTACTTCTCTCAGCACTAATTCCTGTTGTGAAATATGAGATATTGAGCATAGATGTAAGAGCGTAAAATGCCAAGATAATCCCCAAAGAGACACAGCCAGGTAGTTAGTGGTGCACGTTGTCCCCCACTCCTCCTCTGGTTTATGGTCCTTGAAAACGAGCAGAGACAATATCACTTCCTTTCTCAATTACCAAAATTGTCTCTTTATTTGTAATACAGGGTATCTCTCTACGGCTTGGGGTTTTTTATGCTATTGTTCACTCGAGGCTCATTTGGCACATTGTGGAGAACTGATAAAAAATTCATCATAAAAACAAAAGCCTTTGAAACGAAAGAGGGGATGTTGTTGTAACAATCCCCTCCTCAGACTAAAGGCCTAATCCAGGGCAAATCCTCCTTAAGGCTTTAGAGAAGATCAGAGAATAGGGAAGTAATGTCAAATATTTGTCCTCAGAAATAATTCATACTTTATTTGTTGCATGTGATCATCTCATTGTTTTGGCTTATTTTATCAGTGGACCAGCTGGCTTGTAATGTGAGTCATTCTTCAGAAGTTGAGCCTGCCTGTGGCATCTCTGCTTTTTCTTTTTCCTCTCCTTGCTTCTAGCTTTTCACCTTTCCTTTCTTTCACTCTTATGGATTACTGGAACAGCCCACTGGGATCGCTGTCCAAATACGTTTGTGTTGCCAAAACAGAGCATCACCGATTCCTGCTCCTTTGCTTTCTTTGTGGCTTGTGTGTTTGAGCTAGCGAGAAGAGCCTTGGTGAAGTCACTAGAGGTCCAGCAGGACAGCTTGCACACATAGCCTCTAGGGGTCTTTTTCTGGGGGCCGCCTAGTCAGCCTGGCTGCTCAGATGTGAGGCGAGCAGGGCATCAGCCCTCAGGAAACGTCCAAGCTGCAACCCACAGGGGAAACAGACGGATATCACAGACACAAACATGCAGTCGTCACGCATAATGGCTCCTTTTCTTTCACTTTTTATGTACAAATACACACATCTCACAGTCACATACCTGGTCACAAATTCTGTAGAGAAGCAGCATCTTATATGTAGACCAGAAAAGTAGCCAAGACTGTTAACCGTTGACTGTGTGTACACTGACTTCCCCACAAAGAGACAAAGGGGAGGAGGGTAAAAGACAGACAGAGGGAGAGAGAGTACATTAGGAATGAATTATGTGCAGAGAGCACTTATCCAACAATCCTCCTCTGAAGTGTTTGTACTATAAGCCTCAGATCTTCATTGTATTTATTCTAATGTTTAAATATTCATGGTAAATCTTCTCATATTCAATTACCGTAGCACGACCACTGCATGCCGAGAGAGTGCTTTCTCCCTGCTGCCTGGATGATCTGACTCTGTGTGCGTGCATGTGAATGTATGTGTCTCTGTGTGTGTGTGTGTGTGTGTGTGTGTGTGTGTGTGTGTGTCTGTGTGTGTGTTTAGCTTGTTCCCCGGAGCGATCAAGCCTTTGTTATATTGGAACCAGGCTCTGTAATTGCTTATATTAGTCGCTGATCAACGTAAGACCACAGGACATACACACACACATACATACATACACAGAGACACACATACACTCTGGCTGATTCCTGACAGTCTTTTTATTAACCACCAAAGCAGGCGACAGAGAGAGATTCATTACATCACAGCCAAACAAAGACACACACCAGACTTAATAGAGAACACCCACATTTTCAGCATGTTTAATCTTGAAATTTTTATGTAAAAGCGTGCTTAATTTTGTCATTTCTGCTGTCACTTGTTTCTCCTGCTGTGTCTCTCAGTTGCTCTTGAACTGTAGGTGTTTTCGTTATTAAAAATTAAGCATTAAACTTTATTTATCTGCCTCTTTTTCTGTTTGTGTTCAGCACTGAATGAGCCAACCATAGACTATGGCTTCCAGAGGTTACAAAAGGTCATCCCCAGACACCCCGGAGACCAAGAGAGATTACCCAAGGTACAGTGCCTCCGCTCCTCTCATGTGTCTACGCTCATGCTGGTCAACACATGCAATTATTTTATAGTAATTTGTCTTGGTAACACTGGTACAGAGTCATATTGACATCTTCTAGGGTTTCATAGCACATATGGATATACATGGCACAAGGGCAGCATGACCTAACATACAGAGGAAGGATTATGTGCTCCAGGCAGTATATGACCCCATCTATGCACATAAACATTTTATCATATGTTTATGGTCATTTTCTACTCAAATAAACATTTTATTTGCACAGCAGATATAAGTCAACTCTATTCATCCTTCTACTGAGTATAAGGTCATTTAGACTAGCAAAGTGGGAGAGGAAAGGAATAGATGAAGGGGGGGAGAAGGGAGAGAGAGGAAAGGAGGTTGAGGGGCGAGAGGAAGAGAGAGGCAGAAGCAGGTTAGGTGATCCATCATCGCTGTCCAGTCCTACCTCCTGCTGGGTCAGTGGATCGAAGTCAACCCCGGGTGGACTTTATTACTTCCAGTGCACACATAAACCAGCGTACACACACATACATACACAGAGAAATACACTTACACACATCTCTGTGCATATGTGCGCACACACACACACACACACACACACACACACACACACACACACACACACACACACACACACACACACACACACACACACACACACACACACACACGCACACAGTGGAGGGGAGCCACCATGAGGCAGAGATGGAGGGCCCAGGTAGATGTAGAAGGAAGACAGAGAAATCACTTGTGCTCACTGTGTGTCATGTCTGGTGGATACAAGACTTGTCCTGGTGAGTTCTGGTCTTTAGCCTATCAACCCCCTGTATCTCTCTAAATATCTTTGTATCCATCCATCTCTTTTCTTCTCCTCCTCTTCCTCCCTTGCTCGGTGGTGTCTCTTTCTCTTCTAAATGAACAGCGATAGCTGGCAGGCCTGGTTGTTCATTTCAGCTCTATTGATTTGTGCCTTTATTGAAGTAATAACAGTTTGTTGACCACACTTCTCTCAAGTGTTGGGCTCAATCATTAGAGAGAGGGGCAGGAGAGGGGCATACACTGGCAACTTCTTGAAATATAAATGTACAGTCACAGCAAAGCTTCTTTGTGGCTGTTCTCCAGTCATTTTTTTAAGGTTAAATTGATTGGGAATATAATGTATTTCATTCTAAGTGCACGATCTGTAAAGGGATTCTTAATGAATCCTCACACATACTGAGAAGGGAACAGGCAGGTTATCTGCCATTGCCTGTTCTTGCTCTGTATGTTGTTGTAATGATCCAGTGTCCAGCTGAAAACAGCCTCCATACTGTGCTGTAGCTAATAGTCAGGCCGTCAGAGTGAGGAGGGAGTGCTGGGTAGCCAGACTGCAGGGTGTTTAGCTAAGGCTGTGGTGGAGCTGGGGGTCTGGGGCCAGCTAATGAGTGACCGCCCTGCCAGACGAGGCCAGGCTCTGCTCTGGATCAGGTTCCCCTTCCTGTTGACGTCTCTGTGGGCCTGAGTTTACGGGAAGAGACCCTGCACCCAGGAAATGGTCTCCCCTTACAGCAGCAGAGCTAAGGAGGCAGCACGGCGCTAACCACATTTATCTGTTTATCAGAATGACTCTGGAGCACTGCCTAATCGCGTTTAGCTGCTGGACAGATCCCTTTGCTAACGAGAGACTGATAGGTACAGACAGGGCACAGGACCACGGGAAAGTGATTAATAGAGAGAATGGAAGAGAGAACGAAGAAAAGGGAAACAATAGAAAGTAGCTTGGAAACACAGGTGAGGAGAGATTGGAGGGGGAGATCAGAGATGGAGTGTATAGGCCTTGAGGAGAATGAGCTGAAAGTCTTTGAGACTCGTAGCTGGTGCAGAGAGAGGCACAAAAAAAATTAGATGAAGTGAATGAGGTTTCACGTGTCCTCCCTGAACACAGCTACACTCCAGCTGGGCATCTGTTTGTGTCCTAATGCTTCACACTTCCCTCATTTCCCCTCCTCCCCCCCTTTTTTCCTCTTCTTCCTCCTCTTCCTCCCTCCCTTCCTTCATCCATCCATCTACCTATCTAGTAATCCCTGGGAGGCACGGTGCGTCGAGGAAAAGCAGAGAGAAGGAAGCGAGGAGCGGTGCATACATACTAAAGAACCACTTACCTACCTAGGGCCTCTACATCTCTCAATCACCTCGAGCAGGCATCCTCTCCAGTCTCCCCTCTTTCCGTCTCCCCTCCTCTTCCCCCTGCTTCACTCTCTGCCTCCCCCAAATAGTGCTAGTAATGGGAGGTTAACACAGAGGCAGCACTCCCATTATTGAGTGAATTTAGCACCTCGGACAGCGCTCTACAATCTTTATTGCTTTGCTGACCCTCTCGTCATGTCCTGGGCGTGCTCGACAGCGTGGCTGCGTGTGTGTCTGTGAATGTGTGTGTGTGTGTGTGTGTGAGATATGAGGTCTGATTGAAAGGCAGTGTGTCACGGAACAGAGAGCACACATGCTCCAGGGCTTGTTCACAGAGAGGGATACACACGGGAGGGTATAGCACACGGTGTGTGTGCGCCAGTGGAAGGGAAGGAGGGAGAGAAAGAAACGAGAAGAAGGTTGGAGAGGAGGGGGCTGCAATTTTCTGGTTGTCGTGCCTCCAGCATATATCCTGGCCCTGGCACATTAACTTTTAAAAAGGGTTTCGTAGGGCTGTAGGTGTCTACATCACACACACACGCATATAACGACTGCCTGGAGTCACACACTCATACACTCAAGGAGGCAAAGAATAGAGACAGAGAGAGCAGAGAAAGGAGGGTAAGCAATAGAAAATGAGCATGGAGAAACACTACGTTAGGATAAATGTTTGATGTGGGAAATTCCACTCGGCGGTTTTCACCTGAGCAATGATGTTCTGCATTTGTCATACAAAGTGGATGCAGGGCCGTTCACTCGGATCATTACCAGGGTTAATACAGGGCAGGGGACGGGTGTGTCCCCACTGATGAGGGGACTTGTGTAGCCATCAACCTGATGATATGTTGTGTTAAATGAGATTGATGTGTGATCATGTGCAGTACATTCATGATCTGGCAGTGACAGTAGGGGAGGAGAAGGTGTAGAAGATGGTTGACTGATAGAGAGATATAGGCTCATGTTTTATTCACAGATAACAGTATCTTCCCTCTGCTCTCCCAAACTGCCCAGCTAGTAACAAAGTGCTGGGACAGGCCCATTTCTCTTCCTCTCCCTTCCTCTGTCTGCCTCTTTCCTCTCCCACAGTCTCTGTTCTGCATTCACAGCATAATGTAAGAAGTGAAATGTAATAAAAGTGACTGAACTCTTTGAGTCGTTACACTCATGATCAATCCCCTTCTTCTTTCTGCGCTTTATTGTAGGAGGTGATATTAAAGAGAGCAGCAGACCTAGTAGAGGCCTTGTACGGGATGCCTCACAATAACCAGGTAAACACACCAGGAAAAAACACAGGAGCATGTACACAAATATCAATATCTTTACTTAGAGAAGATGATGTTTGTGGTTCTGGCTAACTGGCAGCATCAAAGGCAGCATCTCCATTAGCTCCACAGTATCCTGCCACATTCACACAAGCTCTGGGACTCGCAACCACACACATGGGATGTGTTAGTGCTTTTACCAGCTCATATGCCATGGAGTAAGGAAGAAGAAATGCAATGAAAACTAAATGTAGAAGGAGGAGAGGGCAATAGGGGAAAACAGATGAGAAGGTGGGATTAACAGTGGACTTTGAAGGAGGAGCACAAAGCAGGGAGGCAGAGAGGAAGAGGCAGGCTGAAGATTTGATGAGTGTATTAATAAGCCTTTCTTCCATTTACTGGAACCGATCCCACCACTCCCAGTGACCACTGATAAAAACCACTGAGCCTGCTAGGTTTACATGTGCAATATCTTGAGTGGATCTCTAGCAACCTTGTGAGACCAGAAAGCCTACAGCAAGAGCATATTTTCTCTCTCCTCTCCTGTCTCTGTTGCTAACCATAGCTTTTTCTTTTTTCTCTCCCTCATTGTCAGGAGATGATTCTGAAACGAGCAGCTGATATCGCAGAGGCCCTGTACACAACAGTGCCACGGGGGCACAACCAGCTAGCCAGTCTTGGCAGCAGCTCCGTCCATGCTGGCATGATGGCCGTAAACTCATTCACTGGTTCAGAGGTGGCACAAACAGCTAATCAGGGTGAGCAAATGCAACAGGAAACAATTAGCATTTATTAAGATAGTAAATGTTGCAAAAAATGATTTTTTAAATTTATTTATGAGTAGATAGTAAAGACAAGTAGTGTGATAGGAAAGGTTTATTTTTCATGTAGGAAATTTATAGAGGATGATTTAAGAGCCTGAAACAAATAAGGAAGAACCTTTGAAAAAAAAAGGAGGACAGGAAGAAGAGGAGGAGCACGGGGAGGGAGCAGCAACAAACAGAGAAAACTTGAGATGAGGAAAAAACGAAGGTGAGAGTGAAGAATGGAGAAAAAGGGAGCCATGGATGGAGTGCGATGGAGAAATATGAGTGGGTCCTGGGGGTGTGTATATTAGACTGGGGTCGGCCCCTGTCTGACAGAGAGAGATGTGGGTGCAGTCAGTGGTGATTCATCACATGTATCAGGGGAAGGAGAGGGGAGTGGATGGATTAGCCTCTGGATGCGTCTCCATACTTGCAATCTTTGCCTCTTCCTCTGCCCTTCATCTTCACTTATAAGCATCTTCAGATATGAAGAAAACAACTGATATCAGCTGCTTGGCTTCTGGCTTACAACTTGTAGCAGATGAGAATAGTGAACCTGTGGTGTGTCATTATAGAAGAAGAGAATACTACATTAGTGAAACGTAGCTCTGTTGCACTAGAGAGCAGAAATGTCTAATGTTCAATTCCAGCTGTTTTTTTTTTTCTCCAGTGTCAGCATGTTTGACCTGAGAGGTATATTTATAGTCTTCTTTCCATCTTGCCTTCCTTCTGTTCCCTGCCCCTGTAAAGGATAAGGGAGAGAAAGGTCCCGTCAGAAACACTGGCTTTATTCTTAATATATTACAAGCAAGCTGCAGACGCCTTTTAGTGTTAATTACCTTATCATTATACATCTATATATCTCATTTTGGAGAGGATCCAGTAAGGTTAAAGGCTTCTTATTTCACTAGTTGGATCGCAGTTAGTTTCCCCTGTGCTCTGTTCATTGCTTTCCCTCTCTGCCATATGCTGTCTAAGATTTTTCAAAAATTTCTTTTGGCTTATATTGCTATGTCCATTAGCCACATAGGGAAAAGAGTATTTGGCAGCACTGCATGTAGGCTTTCTCATTTTGTTTTGTCTGCCATCTGCTATATCCCTAACATCTATTCTATCTCTGTCTTCCTCTCTCTTCCTGTCCATAGGTTTCAGTAGGAGTACAAGCAGTGTGTCCCCTCATGGTTATGTCCCCAGCTCCACACCCCAGCAGAGTAGCTACAGCTCTGTCTCCACTAGCATGAATGGCTATGCTAACTCTGGCATGGCAACCTTGGGCACCTCGCCCAACTTCCTCAATGGATCTGCAGGCAACTCGCCCTATGCTAGTGAGTAAATACATGCCATCCAAAATCCAAAACCAAAAGAGGGATGACAAACTGAAGGCGCAAGAGGTGAAAAAGAATGAATCGGGCCTGTGTGAACATAAAATGTTTTTGGCAGGAAGTGAGAAAGGGAGGTGGAAACAAGAAGTGACACACAAAAAGAATGTCATGCAGTTCTGCTGGCTCATCTGTTTCTGTAAGAACAGAGTCAAACGCAAATCCCCACTTTATTGGTCAGAGGAGCAAATCACCTAGCATCCCCCTGACACACACACACATTCACACTCTACATTAAAGACCCTTGATTAAATCAATAAACTAATTGCTAGAGAAGCAATTCCATTTCAGCTCTTTGATTCCTGGGTGTTAACAAGTATTTTAACAGGCTCATCGGCCCCACACAGACACTTTCAATCAATGGCCCCTCGGCCTGCCTTTGTAGGTCCAATTTTCCTTAATTGATTGGTTAGACCCCTTCATAAATGGATTATGACTTTATTGCGAGGATTTGTCAGGAAAAGCCATAAAAGCTAAGTGTTGGATAATAACAACAATAAAGGCAGAAGCAGATATCAGAGGGCAGGTGAAATACGACTCGGCCGATTGTAAAATCACTGAGGGGTAAAATGCTCTTAGTGTATTAGCAGACAAAAGACAAACTCAGGAGAAGTGGATAGATGGGAGGGTGTCAAAAGGAGAATTCCTGATCATCTTTGCCTCACAATTGTTGGCATGCATGCAGCAATTTGTAACAACAGTAAACACCTATCTTTTCTAAAGCCTTATTTTGAAAAATGCAAATGTTTCACAGAATTATTTTTGTAGCCCTTTTATAATGACTGTAAAAAAAAAACTGCATCCAGAGTGCTAGTTATAATGTGGAACAAATTTATATTATGATTTCACAACCTTAAGGCTCCAAGGCCTGGTCACACCAGTATTTAAAAAAAGCTAAATTTATTTGAATTGATTTGTTAGTTTATTTGAATTGTGATGATCATTGGAGCTCAACTTTGGTAAACCTTGAAGCACACATTGGTGCCATTGACCAACAGAAAGCCATCTTGATGGTGCTGACCTTTGAGGAAATGACTGGTGTGATAATCCAAAAAAGAAAAAGCTAGCTAAGAGTCACCAGAGTACAATCATGGGAACAAAATGCCAAGGGTACACAGACAGTTCAGTAAAAATAAAATAGAAAGAAGCTTAGATATAACACTATGAGACTGTGTGACAAGAGCTAGCAGTTCACCAACTTGCCCTCTGGGTAGCCCCCTCCATAACCAAACATCTACAGAATTTGGCTGTGTCACTTTTTGGCCTGTAATTGTCATATTATGAGGCTGATTGTTATATATGGACATATAGCTATGACTGATTACACTGTGTTTATGATGGTGGCAATAAAAACACAAAGAGGATATGAAGAAATGCTTTAGATGTTATCAGCCCATTTGCTGTATCTATTGGAGTGGCTGGCCCTGGCTGTTGTATGAAATCTCTGGCATGATTATCTGTGATAAAGATGATGTGGGAGAGCTTTGTGTTAAGTTGCCCTGAAAACAAATTGCTAGTACAGCATCCAACGTTTGCCGCGAGATGTTTATCAAGTTGTTGCAACACTTAGGCGCAGAAAGAGTCATCAACTCATTAGAGGAAAAGAAATGCTTTGGACTGTTTTTAGTGCAGGCTTGCACCTAAATGCATTTTTTGACTTAGCTATGGAATATGTTATTGCCAGGTGATCACTTAATAACAAATAGTCTCAGCCAGCTTATCTGAGTCCAACATATTATCCCTCCTGCCATCGTCCATTGACCAGTCCCTTTCTGTTCGTCCCATCTACCTGTCCTCTGCCCTCGGCCCTCTCTCTAACCCCGTGTCTCCCCCTTCCATCTTCATCTTTCTTCCATGTCCTATTTCCCTGATGCTCTCTGTATGACCCCCCCTTAACCCCCCTTTCCTACTCATTTCTCTTCTCTCAGTTGTTCCATCAAGCCCCACCATGGCCTCATCGACCAGCCTGCCCTCCAACTGCAGCAGCTCTTCCGGCATCTTCTCCTTCTCTCCAGCCAACATGGTGTCTGCCGCGGTCAAGCAGAAGAGCGCCTTCGCCCCCGTCGTGCGACCCCAGAACTCCCCTCCGCCTACGTGCACCAGCGCTAATGCTAACAGCCTGCAAGGTGAGGCCTGCAAGTATTTACATGGTATCTAATGAATCAGGACCTACTGTTTATGTGCAGCTTAACAGTTTCCAGTAATAAAATGTATATTTATTGAGAAACATTCATCCTCAAGCTTACTACTTTTTGTTAAATCTTTAAGATAACAATTGTTCACTCCCAATTCTTTGCCCCATCTTCCTTTTCCTCCTCTTGTTTTTTTCTTTCTTTACCCTCTTGAAACCCCTCTAATCTCCTTCCTCACTGTAGATCAGTCTTTTGTGGACTCTAGCAAGTACTCATCAGCCAGCTCTCTGCAGGGCCTGGCCTTCTCCTGAAGTACGTTATCCCTCTCTTTCATTTTCTCTTTCTCTGTTTTCTTTCTGCTCCATACAATCCCACAGCTCATTTGTACCAGCAGCTCATCCTGCCCTGTCCTTTCTTCTCGTATCCGTTTTTGTCATGCCACGCCATATGTGTTCCATTTCCTGTTTTCACTTCCTGCTTCCTGCCTGTGCTCCAATGGGTGTTTCACTGAAGAGGAGGGGGTGCTTGGGGATGTTAAGCCACCATCAGTCATTCCTCTTCTCTCATTTCCACTGAACGCAGTGCGGGGTCTGTTCGTGCAGACAGGATGTTGTATGGTGTTGAGATCCTGAGAGAGAGAAATGATGGATGGGAAACTTTATCAGAGCCCCAAGCTAAGCACTTCCTCGCTTCCTCTGTCGGCGTTGATGAGCGCTGACCACGCTGACCCGAGGGCCAGTGGCCACTGTGTGCTGATCACACTGACACACGCACACCCCTACACACACACATACACCATTCTGTTAATCCCAACAAGCTGGAGACATTTAGGAAATAACCAAGGAATTAGTGGATTGAAGAGAGAGGGGAATCAATAGGGAGCCGATATGTTATATGAAAAATTCCTCCCTATGATAGTTTCTGTAGAGATACGGGGGGAAGGGAAAGGGGGTGATGAGGGGGTGGAAGTAAGGAGATGAACTTAGGAGTTAGTTGCAAAGCAGGAGAAGATACCATAAGGTAAAAATGTGAATAAAGCTTCCAATGAAAGGCTTATGAATTCCTTTTTCATGTTTGACTGCTGGGCATAATTTCATCATTTCTGTCATACCAAGTCACCACATTCTCTCTCTCTCTTGTTTTAATTATGCTCCATGATGCACAATTGGCTTATACACTGTAACTGCTAACAATTAACAGTGTCAGCTCTATATGAAGCTATTTGGAGAGCCTTTGAAAAGTTGAACAATGTTGTCGGTGAGCACCAAGTTAACAGCGCAGCGGAGGAAAAATGTTTTGATTTCGGGGGCCCTCAGAATGAAGAGATAATGAGGGAGAGTTGTCTTTGTTCGCCAGATGCTGGAGCACATTTCTGTTATGTGACTGTTGTGATGACAGATGAAACCCAGGAATCACATGACTGACCTCTCTCTCTTTCTTTACCAATTGCTCCTTGTCCCTCCCCCTCTTTTCCCACAAAGCAGCTATTCCCGGGATGATCATTCCACCCATGTAGAGGATCTGGGATAGCTGGAGATTTGGAAATGTTAAAAGGAAAAGACACAGTAGTGGAGTCTGGCTAGGTCTCTGTTATGCTCCGGAGCTGAACTGAAGGAAGTCAAGATAAGATGCAAGACTCTGTTAAACTCAGGCCTTTCCACTGGATCTTCATCTGAAGGGATAGGGGACAAGAAAAAAGGGACAATATGAACCTTTGTGATGTTATTTCCCTCTTGGTTGAATTAGTGTAGCTTCTCTGACACCACGTTGGATGGAGTGTGTAGAAACTGATAGTTTGCCCACAGTGTGACGCCAACCTCATGAAAAGAGCATTTATTTATCTTTATGTTTATGCCTCTAAGGTTTGGGCTTGATTACCAGAGGCCTAGTGCCCATTGCAATCCATAACTCACACAAACAACAGTGAAGAGTTGGTTTGGCCATGAAGTTTACGTAACATCTGTCACAATAGAGGATGCTTTCTTCAGCTCAGCCGGCATAAAACCACTTCACAACACAGTGACCAAATGGAACGAAGGTCATCAGCACAAAAAAGAAGAACAAAAAAAAGAAATACACGAAATAACACAGTCTACCCCTTTTGTTTTGCTGCTAATTATCCCATTTAAAATGAAACATTGTGTATTAAAGTTGTGCTACGCTATTTCAACATCAGAACCATTTGTTCTCTCACTTTCTCTTTGCTTGGTTTGTTTGTTTGAATTTTCATAAAACTGTGAGGACTGAGCTGTTTGCAATATGCTTTTCTGCTTGTCATATGAAGAAAAGATGATGATTTAGCCACAATTGCCATTTTTGTCGGAAATTTTAGTGAAGACTTTAAAAGCCAGAGGATGTGTGCGTCCAGCCAGCACTGTACTGACGGAGTCTAACAAATATTAAATAAGAATAAATGTGTGATATATGTGATCTATTTTTGCATATTAAAAAAGTTGAATTTTTCATTTGACATTTCTTTTTGCAATAGCTATAGTTTAAAATGTAAACATTAAATGTCTTAAGGCAGCTTCTCAGTACAGAAGATAGTTACTGTGTGTTGTCAATAACTCATCTGATAAACGTGAGAAATGTGGATTTGGATACAAAAGGAGGATTGTATGTAAAATATCCTATAAATAATGTATTTATCCCTTGCATTTGTACATTGCCTTTCACTTTTGTTTAGTTGTGTTGTGTAATACAAAAAGTGAACATATTTCACTGTGTTTTGTTGCATTATTTACTGTTGTCTCACTATTTAAATGTGACTTTTTAAAATTCTTTTGTTTTGTATGTTGCTTGTATACCATGCTTTCATATGCTGATTCAAAACATGCTATTGTCTATTTTTGTATTATTTGTAAATTAATTAAAAAAAACTTTGTTTTTTTTCCTTATGAAAATGTTTATTGTACGGCAAAAAAGTAGCATCTTATTCAGAGTTTGGTTGGAGTAGATTTTTTAAGAATATATACACACATTAATATATACTGTAAATCTATATCTTTTTGTTTGAACTGAGGTTTTCAGATTGATACAGTTCTTGATAATATGCATGGGTTATTCTCTTGAGTGACACTTTTTTGTGTGTGTGCGCAAACCAAGAGAACTAAGAAATTGCTTTGTGTTTTTCTTTCTTTGTTTTTCTTTCTTTGTGTTCCTCTTTTTCCCCTCTGTTCTTTTTTTCCTGTGTTATTTATGCCTGCTTACATACTGTATCTATATACTCTTTCTTTCTTTCTTTCTGCCACTGTAATCTTTACCAGCAGTCTAGATGCCTTAACAATGCAAACCCATTCTTCATTCAATCACTTGTACAGTTTTCTACCCTCACCACAATTGTCTGTTGCCACAGAGGAATTCCTGGGAACTTGGGGACAAAGCACAAACCCACTCTGTTTGGTGGTGAAGCCAGACTAGAAAACAAAGAGCCATAATTCAACAATCACACACTCACCCCCATGTACTATAGTACTACAGCAATGGCACGCTCAGAAGGACAGTTGACATTAAGAGGCCTATCTCAGCTGTGCTCGTTGCATTTTAGTGTTCACAGAAACATGTTTTTGTAGCAATTATGTAGCTTTTTTGGGAGGGGAGGGGTCATGAAATACTTTCAACAGCATGACGGTAATATTTCTTAATAATCACAGGATCACAACAATATGACAAGACAGCATTGTTTTTGACTGAGTTACAAAGGGGCCCGCAGCAAAGACAAGCACTGTCACAGCACGATTTGAATCTCCCGCACGGAGTCATAGGTCTGGCTGCAGTATCTGACAGTCAATCCCCTGGTCCTCCTCTACATGTATTTGCCTTTGGACAATACAGCTTCATTACAAGCTAAACAGAACAAGTAAGGAATCATGAAAGGGAGCTCCCCGCCCCCTCAGACATTTCTGTAGTCCTTTCTTTGTGTCTGCCATGTGTCTTCAAGCTGTTGCTGGACAGAGAATAGGGCTTTTCTCTCCGCTTTTCTCTTCTAGAGCCTGGTTTTGTTAAGTGGGTAGAAAGAGGCGTTTTAACACAGGTGCCTGCTGACAGATGAGTGTTTTTCACGCATTTGTGTGCCTGTGCTGGTCTGGGCCAGGACGGGAGGGGCCACACCATATCTGTTTCAAATGAAGTACAGAGGTCTGTTGTCATACAATGGCTTCTTTGTAAGCAAAGTTCCATCCTGATTATGAATATTGGTTATGGGTGACAAAGTTTTGTATTTAAGTAACAAACAGGAATAACAACAAAGTTGCAAACCAAATAGCTGGTGTCTATTTTTTTCCTCTGTTCTGTCTTTGACTGCAAATACACTGAACAGCTCTATGAAATAAGGGAAGAAAAATTCTACTGTATAGATTGTTATTGTTTTTGATGAAAACTGAGCTGTAAGATAACTTTTGGACTCTCACAATGTTGAATTAAAGTTACCTCTTGTCTGTGACCTCAGCTGTCTTGTTGTTATTTTAAAATATGCCACTTGTCTTTTTTTTTTTTACCTCAACAACTGTAAAATGAGATGCATTCAAACCATGAAGCACCAAAGTGAATGTGATTTGTGTTGTTATTCTCTGGTGTGACTGAAAATGTCATCATGAAATAGCTGGCAGGCGGTTATAGAGAAGGACTGGCTAAGACTTATTCCACAGGTCAGAAACAGACATGCATACCCTCCCCAGCTAGACTCCTTTCTCTAATGAATCTAATTCATTAATGCATTACTAATGGCATGGTGAACATGGTTAGCCTGACAAGTTTCCTCCTAAACATATTAGTTAATGATGATTCCAAGGTTATTAATTGCAAACGCACCAGCCCACCATAATTGAGTCATCATTTGCATACCCGGTCATCAGCAGAAAATTAATTTCTTTTTTATTTTTTAAATATCTAATTTAGGGGGCTGCGATTGGATTAGCTTGTGAAAATAGCGGATCCCAGGATTCTGCTGACCTCAATGTGTTCCAGGGTCTCCACAGTAACTGGAGGCTTCTGTAACGGCAAATAGGGAGAGCGAGACGACCTGGAAGTACTGATGAAATAAGGACTTGCGTGTGTTTGCCTCCTTAATTGTACAAAGGTTCATAACTGCACAGGGCCTTTTTCTCCCATATACCTAATAACAGAGTTATAGTTTGCTGACAAACAGTAAAGTGGGTTGTAGTGTGCACAATTTAGCAGTAAGAGGTTGGATATTGAATTATGGAAGTTACACACTCAGTGCTGGGGAAAATGAGTCCTGGAACCTAATGTTTTTGATTAGTGAGCTGAGCACTACTGCCGTGTTGCACTGCACAGCTCCAGGGATTCAGCTTTCCCAAATGCGGCTTGCACTGCTCCACACACACACACACAGTCAAACACGCGCTCATAAATCATAAATACACGTAGACAAAAGGTGAACCAATTTTGCTCTTTATTTCCAGCAGTTTTTCAGGCCCAGATAGACTGGTCAGTGTGGGAGGAGGACAATAGGAGTGGGAGGCTGAGGGCAGTGTGGAGCCAGCAGACCTCAGCTCTCTGGAGACATAACATTAAAGGCGTTATTCCTGGAGAACTACTCCTCTGGATACGGACGGGCAGAGTCTTCACACATCAAGAGAGGCGCTGTTCAGGAGCTTCTGTGCTACTAGTATCCTAATAAAATATATTAATGCACATATTCCTCGCTCTCCTCCTCCTCTTTCTCATTCTCCTCCCTGCATGGACACATGAAGGGAGGAAGAGCAGAGAGGCGCATTTGAAAGAAAAACAGGAGTCCCCATGGGGATCCCAGATAAAGCAAGAAAACGAAATGGGAAGGAGAGCGGT